AAATTAGCCAAGTATGGTGGCACTGGCCTGTAGTCACAGCTACTCAGGAGACTTGAGATGGGAGGATCGCTTGAGCCTAGGAGGCCGAGGCTGCAATGAGCCATGATTATATACATCATTGCACTCAGCCTAGGTGACAGGGCAAGACCATCTCAAAAAAATGAAAAACAACAACAAAAAGCTTACATATGCACTCAACTAAAACTAGACACTAAAAAATGAGGGTGTATTTTACTGTATCTATATTATACCTTAATAAAAATAATGAAGACAGTGGATGGAATGGATGCACTCGTTCCAGGGATAACTATGTACAGTGGATATGGGAAATGGAAGATGTATAAGGTTATAGTGAAAGACAAAATGAAAATGTTGTTTTGGCCACCTTGGGAAAACACTAAACACCACAGGAAAGCATTTGGTAAACAATGGGGAATACCTGAAGATTTCTGAGCAGTAGCGTGGCACAATAGGATCTATGTTTTCACAGCAGGGTAGAGGATGCATTTGTGAAGAAAGAATGGAGACAGGGAGACTGCTAGGAGTCTCCTGCAATAAAACAGTTCTGCCTAGAGCGGCGGGAACATACAAGAGGAAGAACTGAGACAAGAGAGATTTCAGGGCAGAACACAGAGGACTATTTTCTTTTTCTTTCTTTTTTTTTTTTTTTTTTTGAGACAGAGTCTTGCTCTGTTACCCAGGCTGGAGTGCAATGGTGCAATCTTGGCTCACTGCAACCTCCACCTCCCAGGTTCAACCGATTCTCCTGCCTCATCCTCTTGAGTAGCTGGGATTACAGGTGCGTGCTACCACGCCCGGCTAATTTTTGTATTTTTAGTAGAGGCGGGGTTTTACCATGTTGGCCAGGTTGGTCTCGAACTCCTGACCTCAGGTGATCCACCCGCCTTGGCCTCCCAAAGTGCTGGGATCACAGGCATGCACCACCGTGCCTGGCCTTTTTAAATTTTTTTTTCTTTTTTTGAGACAGAGTTTCACTCTTGTTGCCCAAGCTGGAGTACAGTTGCACAAACTCCTGACCTCAGGTGATTCACCCGTCTTGGCCTCCCAAAGTGCTGGGATTACAGGCGTGAGCCACCATGCCTGGCCCACAGAGGACTATTTTCTAAATGCGTATGAAGGGACTGGAAATGGGGAAAAGAATTTAGAGACAACTCTGAAGTTTCTAGCTTGGCTGACTTAATATACAGTGATGCCAAGTAATACAATAAAAGGAAAATTGGGGAGGAATAGGTTTTGGATGGGGATAAAACAATAAATAGAAGGTTTAGACATGCTTTGCTTGAAATGCCTGTGGTAGATTGTATTATTGGTGCCAAATATTCCCATGCCCCTGCCTGGGGCAGGATTATACATCCACACCCAATTATCTCAGGAGTGACTTTCTTTGGCTGACAAAATGTGGCCTGAAATGTGTTACTTCTGGGCCAGCACATGGC